TCCTTCCTTCCTTCTCCCCTATCCCTCCCTCCATCCTTTTCCTTCCTTCCTTCTCCCCTATCCCTCCCTCCATCCTTTTCCTTCCTTCCTTCTCCCCTATCCCTCCCTCCATCCTCTTCCTTCCTTCCTTCCTTCCTTCCTTCCTTCCTTCCTTCCTTCCTTCCTTCAAGGTTGACTCAGCCTTCCATCCTTCCGAGGTGGGTGAAATGAGGACCCGGATTGTTGTTGGGGGCGATATGCTGACTCTGTAAACCGCTTAGAGAGGGCTGGAAGCCCTATGAAGCGGTATATAAGTCTAACTATTGCTATTGCTGATTGTTGTAAACCGCTTCGAGACGGCTGAAAGCCCTATGAAGCGGTATATAAGTCTAACTATTGCTATTGCTAATGTGGAACACCCACAGAAAAGGAGGCAGGGGCACCTGCAGCCCTGGGCATGCACAGCCTGGTGGATTCCCCCTTGTGTGTGTGCCTGCTTCTTCCCTTGCAATCTCTTCCTCGCTCTGTCCCTCTGCAAGGCAAGGGGCAGAAAAAAACTGGGCAGGCACAGGAGAAATTGTCCACAGCAATTGCAACAAGGAGGATTAGGGGACTGAAGGCTGAAGCCTAAGAAGAGCAGTTGCAGGAAGTTGAGTGGAAAGAAGGGCTGGGGGTGACATGAGAGCCGTCTTCTGATATTTGGGGGGGGGTGCTACAAAGAGAGGGGGTCCACCTATTCCCCAAAGCCCTTGAGGGCAAGACAAGAAACAACAGATGGAAACCAAGAAGGAGAGAAGCAACCTTGGAACTGAGGAGGAATATCCTGGCAGAACAATTAACCCGTGGGAGGTTGTGGGTGCTCCAACACGGGAGGTTTTTAGGAAGAGATTGGACAACTATTTGTCCAAAATGGGGTGGGGTCTCCTGCTTGAGCAGGGGGTTGGATTAGAACAGGGGTCCCCAACCCCCATTGCTGCAACCCACGACTGTTCAGAACTGGGTTGCGGAAGCAGCGGCTCCACTTATGCAGTGCGGGTGTGCGGACGCAGCGGGTGACCGAAGCGCTTGCCCGCTGCTTGCCCAGAAGTATCCTCCCCCCCCCCCCAGTCGACTCTGCAAAGCCAGAAAGGTTGGAGACCCCTGGAATAGGAAGCCTCCAAGGTCCCCCCCCGACTCCGTTACCCCGTTATTCTTTTGCAGCATCTTTTCCACCCTGGAAGATAGAATGGGGACAGCCTGAGAGCCTGGAGGTGGCCCCCTGTCTCCAAGGCTCCTCAGACATCCATAGGGAAGGGCTGGGAGTCTCAGCCACGCAGGCAGCTGGGTGGGTGGGGTCCTTTCCAAAGTAGCCCTCGGGGGTGGCTGAGTCTACAAAAGTCCTCTGGGTCTCGAGAGCTTCAGTTGCAGCACCTGTAAAAGGGGCTAATTGGGGGCAGCAGGCAAAGGAGACGGGGGGGGGGTAATTCGGGGACTGGCGTGTGGGAGAATCTGAGGCTCTGAAGGATGCAGAGTTCGTTGTCCGTTGCTGACCTCTTGGTTTTCTTTCTTCCTGCAGCCTCCTGACTCGGCTCCCGCAGGAGTTTCACATTCAGGCAACCTGAACTTGGCATTTGCGCCCAACATTTCTCATCCTCAGATGACACCACTGGGGCTCCTGCCAGGCCGTGCCCCTCTGGCAAGCACTGCCACACAGCGCAACCACCAGGCTGCTCTGGCCCCTCCGCTAAACCCAGCACTTTCCCCCAGTATGGCTCCACTCCCCAGCCCTCCTCGGAAGACACCAGAGCAAAGTCGGTTTCCTTCCTCATCTCGCCCTCCCTTAAGTACTCCGGGCAAATGGGCCTCCCACGTTCACCGTTCCGCTTCCCCGGATTACGCACTCCCCAAAGGGAGCCCTTTTGGGGCCCCCGAGTCTCCTCTTCAGGAGGATTCAGGATCCGGCGATTCCGTTTCTCTCAGCAGCCGCAGCAGCCGTGAGAGTGCCGTAGAGTGGGACAGGCCTCCTCCACAAGGCTGGTCTCAGCGCCAGGACGCCAGAAGTGGCCCTGGGAGAAGCTGCAGGCACCTGCTCCTTCCCGCCTCCAACTGCCCAGAGGTTTGGGACACGGGTGATCAGGATGGCTCCCCAAAAGCAATCGGGGCCTCTGGGCCTTGGGAGGAGACACTGCAGCTCACACCCAACTTTCCGACGGAGACGGGAGACGCTTCTGGCTCTGCATTGTCTGTTTTCGGCCCAGAGTCTCCAGCGCTTAGTGAAACTGACCAAGATGAGGAACAGGCCGAGATGAATCCCTGCCCAAGTATGGAGGAAACGGCTTGTGCGGGGGAATCGTTTGCTTCGGAGCCAGGCAGCCCAGCAGAAGAAGAAGCAGAACCAGAAGCAGAGGGAGTGGAAAGCAGAGCGGTCAGTCTCTCTTCAGAAATTCAGGTTTCTGAATTGGGGCAACAAGACTCAGCCGAGAGAACATCCGAGATCCCTTTTCCTTCTGGGGAAGGACCAACGAATGATTCTTCCACCAAAATCTCCCGTCAAGAGAAATTGGATCCTGGGAGGAGAAACGCACTTTTACCTTCAAGAAATTCATTGCCTGGGACCCAGAGTGGCGCTCTGGACAACACAGTGGATTCTCCAGAAAAGGTTGCAGCCAGTGAAGATGTGGAAATGGGGCCTGCAACAGATGCTGGCTTAGAAGATGTAGACGGCCACCTTCGTGGTGGAGAACTTGAGCCGGAGATGAGTTCTGCGATTCCAGTGGAGGCTGAAGGGGTTTGGGACAAGGCCAGCATGGGAGACCTTTGTGCAGAAATGGGGATGTGGGCTGACGGGGTGAAGCCTGGCAAGATGGAAGCAGCAGCAACAACAACAGAGTCTTTCAAGGATGTGGACCCAGACCAGAGGCCGGGCGCTGAGCCCAAGGAGAGGCTTCTTCAGAAACTATCGGAGGTCCCCATCCTTGACGAACAATTCAAGGGCAGATTCTCCCAAGGAGACGATCCCAAGGATTGGAGTGAGGCTTCTGACACCACAGGCCAAAACCTCCACTCCCCAGAGACCCGTGAAGGAGGAGGAAGGGCTGTGGGAAAAACAGACCGGCTGCAAGCGAGACCTGCTTTGAGGGAAACCACCGTTCTCGCAGGGGCCTTAGAAACCCCAGTTCCTGAACCTCCTGAGAATTTGGGCGAACTGATTTCTGAGCAATGCCTCTTACGCAACAGCAGCAGGATCCCCTTGGAAAATCCAGTGGGAGAAAGGTCTGTGAGGGAGGAGAAACGTGAGAATCCCAGAAATGCTGAATCCAGCAACAACTCGAAGGAAGAAAGGGCTGTTCCCAGGCTTCAGGATGCCGAAGAGATGAGTGAAAACGATGATTCTTCCCGGGGAATTGTCGATGTTCCAGTGGTTGGGTCGTCCGGAGGAGAAGCGCCTGGTTACAGACGGGGGAGTGGGAGAGAACGGCAGGGTGAATTTAAGGCTCCACCTAGTGAAGAAGAATCGGAAGTGAAGAGAAGCATAATCGGCACTTCAACAGCAGCAACCACAGAAGATGCAGCCAACCAGCCCCGAGAGGCCGAAGGCGGCCTGGACAAAGGCCCAAGAGGCCTCGCAGAGCAGGAGAAGGCGGACTCCTGTTCTGCTGCGGATGCCTCCCGCACGAGGAGCCCTCGCCCAGATCCTGCCGAGCGGCCCTCCTTGGGCGCTTCCTCTAGAGAGGGCCTCCCAGAGGGGAGGATTCCTGGCTTAGCCGACTGTTCCCTTGCAGGCACCCAGTTGCCTTCTCCGAAAAGCCACCGTGAAGCAAGAGAGAGTTTGGGGTCAGATAGTCGCCTCCTTTTGGGCTGTCAGGATGTCCCGGAGGATGAACGGTTGGCAAGTCTGAATGAAGAAGGCAGAGTGAAGACCACGGTGGGAGGGGAGGAGGAGGAGGAGGAAAGGGCCGGTCCTGTGCCAAGCATCCCTTTGGCTGTCACCAGGAGGGATTTTGACCCATGTCCTGTGCAGATGGGGGCCTGGAAGGGGCCTTGTAGCACATTCTCCAGCGGTTCTTCCTATGCAATAAACCAGCTACAACGTCCTTTAGGGGTTGATCCCCAAGGACCGAAATCGGATATTGTTGAGCCTGAGAATCTGGAGAATTGTTCAGAAGTGAAAGGAGCCGACGTTGGGGGAAAGTTGCTTTACCTTGAAGACCCTCTTAGACCAGACGGAGGTTCTGAGGGAGCAGAAGCTCCTCTTGAACAGATCAGCCTTCCTGTTCCAGGGGAACCTGAGCAAGATGCCCTCATTCCTGAGGGGAGCGGCTGGTCTGGTCACCTGGCTGAGAATCCCCCCTGCAGGAAGGCAAGAGCCAGCCCTGGGCTGACCCTCCTACAGCCTGGGAACGTTGCTGTCAAGCTCCCCGTGGAACCAATGGATGACTCTGCTGACGCCCTGCAATGGCCTGAAGGGGATGATGGGCTCCATTGGCAGATTCCGGCCTCTGAAGCTGAAGGAGAAGAGAGGGGCCGGTTGGGTCCTTCCAAGACGGAGGGTCTTCACGAAAGAAGGGACGCCTCGTGCTTCCATCCAGCTGAACAGAGAGCGGATGGGACCCAGAGCAGGGAAGCCTTTAGGGAACCAACTGAGGAATTGGCCACCCGAAGACCATGTCATCCGCCCATTCAAGAGGCCACTGCTGGACCACGGAAGGACATGGAGATGCTGGAGGTGAGTCTGGAGGGACCCACGTCCTCCCATCGTGACCAAGGCCGTCCTGTGAGGGCTGCATCCTCCCCAGCAGGGACAGAGGCTGCAGGGGCCTCTTGTTCAAGGAAGGGCCGGAAAAGAGCCGCAGAAGCACCGGAGGAGCCGGGTGGGGGGGAAGTGGAGCCTGATCCCATCAACTCGGCCGGTCGGCCTGCAAACTCCCCTTCGGAATCAGCTTCGGAATCAGCAGATGATGGCAGGGCTGCCTGTACGAACCAGGGCTTCATGGAAAACACCCGCCAGGACTTGGACCAAGAGGCTTCTTCCGTGGCTGGCAGACCTCCTGGGCAGCCGGACACGGCAACTGTGGCTTCACCCCTTGGAAAAGCAGCTCAGGAGCTTCCGGGAAGTGAGTCGTCCAGCAGTCCCCCTTCAGGAAAGGGGGAACGCGCTCAGAAGGCAGGGATGGCGCTGCTGCCGGGCCAAGAGAGAGCGTGCCAGCTGGGCAATGGCCCGGAGGCCCCTGCAGGGTGGAGAGGAGGCATCGGGTGCTCGGAGCCCTGCGAGGCCCTTTTGCAGGAAGAAGAGAAAGCGAAGAGCCCCCCTCCTAGGAAGAGGCTCCAACAGGAGGCCTTGGAAGGCGCTGCCTGTCATCCAAAGAAGCTCTGCGAGGGGGGTTCTGCTTCAGGTGGGGGCTCTGCCAGGGAGCCAGCGGCATCTCCTGGGGCGGCACCTCCTCCTCCTTTGCCTCCTCTGAAGGGGAGCCTCGAGCAATTCGGCCAAACGATAGAGAAGTTCCTTCATCAGTGTAGAAACCGGCTCCCTCCGTGCTCCGACCCCACGGACAGAAAGAGAGAGGCGATTGCTCGGATGGTGAGAAATTACTTTCAGAGCAACGTTGACTCCAACGAACCGGCAGCTGAAACGGGGGAAGCAGGAGCGCCTGCAGGCTCTTCCGCCAGAGAAGAGGGCGAAGGCTCAGGGGGCCCCGGGCAGGAGGACGTCTGCCACTTTGAGGAGGAGCCCTTCCCCATGGAGGTGGGTTCTGCGCTGGGGGACTCGGGCTGCAGCTCTCCTGTTGAGTCGCCAAAGGCGGAACCCCCGGAGGGGCCCTTGGAAGAAGAGCCGGAGTCCTCTTGGCCTTTGGGCACCTCTGCTCCTTCTCAGAGCTCCGGACCTTCTCCCAGTCCACACTGGAGCCATTCAGACCAAGCGCTGGATGGCGCCTCTGGAGGCTCTGGCAGCCTCTCGGAAGCGGAGGGGAATTCTCCCTCCGATGGAGACTGTGAGGATGAAGACTCGGGGAGGCCCACAAAGGCAGCCGTGCTGTGGCAGGAAGACAGCCAGGCTGAGCAGGAGGCTCCCGGCTGTTGGCTGCAGCGTGGAGAACCGGACGGAGGAGACGGACCTGATGGCTCCGCCTGCCGAGAGGATCCTGTGGAGGCCCCGGAGGAGACGGCAGCTGAGGGCTACCGGAGGGCGATGCCGGCCAAAGGAAGCGTTTTCCCGTCAGGCGGCCCCGGAGGCCCCCCTGGCCAAGGTAAGGAGCAAAGGCGGTTTTCTCTGTCCGGCCCTCCTTCCCTTCGCTTTGGGCTCTGGGACGTCCGCTTCTACCTGCCTCTCCCCCCCCCTCCCCCCGGGCTCATTTACTCCGTCATCCAATTTATACGACTCTGACACAACAAACACAGAAAGCAAATAAAAAGCAGATTAATAGAGGCAGTCCTTGACTTACAGGCACACCTGAGCACAAAATTTCTGTTGTTAATTGAGACAGCTCTTAAATGAGTTTCGCCCCATTTTACAACCTTTCTTGCCACGGTTGTTAAGTGAATCACTGCAATTGTTAAGTTAGTAGCGTAGTCGTTAAGTGAACCTCGCTTCCCCATTGACTTTGCTTGTCCAGAGGTCACAAAAGCTGAACAGGTGACCCCTGGATGCTGCGACCGTCATAAATATGAGTTGCCAAGCATCCGAATTTTGATGGTGTGACCATGGGGATGCTGCAATGGGCATAAGTGTGGAAAATGGTCATAAGTCAGTGCCATTGTAACTTGAACGGTCATAAATAAACTGCTGTAAGTCGAGCTCTCTGCTTGCAGACACCTCATTCCCAAGCTAAGCAACCTCATCAGTGCAGCAAGGAGTAGAGTGGGCTGCCTGTGTCTGTCTGGCAGGCCCTCCTCCCTGCCTTGATGGAGGCCGTTGCTCCTTCCCTGCCCATCTTGCTCAGCTGGGAGTTAGGTACGTGATGAGCAGGTCCTGAACCCCAAGAACCCACAGGGTTTGAGGCGGGGGGTGGTGGTGTCCG